CAAACATATTAACGCCAAACATTCGGTAGATTTTATAGAATATTGTAAAAATTATGGTCTATTACCAACATATATATATATATATATATATATTTATTTATATATATATATATAGAGAGAGAGAGAAAACTTATAAATTGACTGCTGCTCCACGTACGTACAAACATACATACATGCACACATACACACATACATACATTCATTCATATATATGCATGCATCCATCTATGCATGCATCCATGCATACATACATACAAGTGCGGTGCAATCGCCAACGAGTTTACAGGTTAGGTGGTAGTCGGCAAGTTCGCCACTCTGCTTTCAATGACTACATTTGCAGGCTTTTCTTAAAAGCATCAATTCCCACGTTGAAAGAACCATCAGGAATTTCAGCTGAGGATGGTAAGCGTCCGGATGGCTGCACTCTAATCCCATGGAAGCCTGGCAGCAAAGGTTTAGTTTTGGACGTCACTCTCCCTGGCACCCTTGCAGAACGTTACAGCTATCTAATCAGCCTAGAAAGTGGTTTTGCCGCAACCAGGGCTTCTGATGAAAAACTTAAAAAATACGATAACACCCTGCCTTCAATGAAATTTCTTCCGGTTTGTGTTGAAGTCCTTGGTCCTGTGGACAAAGCTGCTGCAAAATTTTTTAAAGACATTTGCAACCTTATAAGGGCAAGATCCGGAGTCAAAAGGGAATTTTTCTTCGCAATTTTCTTGTCTCGTATGTGGCAACGAGTCCTTCGTGTTTCCCCGGTTGAAAATATTCAAATGAATGCTGACAGTTTCATATACACACACACACACATACATATATACATACACACGCGCACACACGCACACACATACATGCATACATATATACATTCGTACTTGTTATTTTCACTTAACAATTATACACAAATACGATTTGATGATTAACTATTTATATACACATACAAAACAACTTTTTAACGTGCTTTATATCAATAAATATATATTTGCGTAAATATATACATACACTGGTACATGTATGTATGCGTGTGTATATATGTATGTATGTATGTATGTATATGGTTTGGTTACTATTGATTTTTTGGTTATAGATTGTTCTTTCATTGTTTTTTGTTTATTGTTGATCGTTTTTCTGTTTAATATGTGCTAGGCCACTTGGCCTGTTACTTATCATTTGATATCATCATCATGACGGTTCTTTTTATTATCATTTAATTTACTGCTTGGTTATCTTTGTAGTTGGTTATGAATAGATTGACCGATTGATCAGTTTGTTGGCTGATTGACTGATTGGTCGACGATTCTTTAATCTTGATCAACCCAGCCAATTAAATTAACATAATTTAGCCGATGGATCCTCCATTGAGCCCTGTATACATAGATGTGCCTGCAGTTGCTCACCCAACAAGCAGGCTCCCTGCCACAATCAGCTGTTCATAGGTTGTGCTTATTTTAAACACCTTGTTTTGTTTGCCCGGTCGGTTGCTTGGTTAGTTGCTTGGCTGGTTGATATGAAGCTTGATTGACTGCTTGATTGTTTGATATGATTGGCTTGGTTGGTCGGTCAGTTATTCGGATTGGTCAATCACTCTTGCCTTTTGCCTATGAATGAATGTTGAGCATCTGATTAACACATGTACATATATAAATATAAAGGAATATATGTATATATGTTATAAATATATATTTATATTTACGATTGTATATATATATATATATATATAATGCTTGTATATGTATAAATTAATTAATTAATTTATTAATTCATCTGTTATGTATACATCTAACGTACATTTTTTGAGCATTCAGTCTCACTCTGTATATTGAACGTGACACAAATTTTAACAATCTCATTAAAAATTACACACAATTTTATGCATGCATCTGTATATACGAATCGGATATCATGTAGGCACACGGATATATAGATATATATATATATATATATATATATATATATATATATATATATATATATATATATACATATATACATATATATATATATATATAATTTATTAATGTTGGATAAATATGTGTATGCGTGTGTGCGTGTGCGTATGTGTGTGTGGTTGTGATGGTGGTGATGGTTGTTCTTACTTTCAATCTGTTCCTTCCATTTTTATTAATGATTATTTGCTTGATTGGTATACATCCTCCGAGGTTCGTGTTGTTTTTTTTTGTCATGTTCCTTCAATTGTTTATGATGGTAGTCGGTTGTTTCAATTATTATTATCGATTGCTTGTTTCATTATAATCTTTGAATTATTTTTAGCTTAACGCAACATTAGATTGTTCGGTTGTTGTTGTTTTTGTTGTTGTAATGATGGTGATGTTTTTATTTTTTTATTTTTTGAAACCCTCAACTTCATCTTATTTTCTTCCTTTTCCCTTCTATACAATTTTTGTTTCGTTTTGCGACTGGGCTGTAGTTTCGGCTGGCAAAATGATGCTGTTAGCTTTGTTGAATTTTGTTACTGGTGCGTTGTTGTTTTTTCGAATCTGTGAGTTTTTTTACGTTTGCCTTGTTGCCGGTGGAACAATTGACCATCTTGCTGGTACGACTGCTCTTTATTGTTCGGTTCGGTTATGAGCTGGCTAGGCAACAGTTGTTTGACTTTCTGTCGGTCTGTCTGTTTGTCTGTTCGTCTATCTGTCTGTTTGTCTGTCGATGTTTGATGCTTTCTATCATTAACTTCATTGTTTGATATTGGATATGTTCAATTAAGGCTCTCTATCATGAAGCTCATTGTTTCATATACAATATGTTCAACTGCTTGCTTTCATTGCTTTGATAGATGTTCTACAGTGCCTCATCAAGTGACTAGATGCCTGCTTAAGTGCATTTGTCTCTATGTGCACCAGCCTGCCTACGTACACATATACATTTGAATGCACATGCATGTATACGCACATGCATACACAACATGCCCAGAGAGTCGGTTGCTTGCTTACACTCACAAGCGTTTGTCTTCACAAACATAAGCGTGTGCATAACGTTATACACGCAAGCCTTTTCGATACATAGCTGCGTGCACGTAGTTGAAGACAGATACACAGACAGGCAGACAGACAGATGGAGGGAGGGACACACATCTAAATAAATATACCCGTGTCAATTTTCTACTTATCTGCGTGCTTACGCTGTCTTCGTCTTTGCGTGTTTACAAATATCGGTACGGTGGCTCAGTGCATAACATTTTTTTAACGTCACCGCTGTTGTCTTTTAGTGTACGTAACAATTTTATTTTACATTCATTGTTATTAGTTATATAGTATTCTGTTATAGTTGTCGTTATTATTATTATATTTATTATTATTATTATTATTATTATTGAAATCTGTTGACTCATGCGACGTTGATGATGTTTTCCTTGTGGTCACTTCTAATGGATGGATGATGGATTCATTATATAACAACATGTTAACTGCGCCACTGAATGCATTGCATTACAAGAACCAACCTATATACTCCTGTGCCCTATCCTACCTTGCTCTGCCCCTGCTCTACCCTATCTCGCTACTTGCTTCTCATCAACGTCTTCATTTCATTTTTTTTATTGTTGTTTGCAAATTGATTACCGATGATGAACATGTAAATAAAATAATTAAATTATATATATATATATATATATATATATATATATATATACATACATGCATACATAAGTGTATAGTTACAAACTTCAATGTAATGTAAGTGTATGGTGTATATACACGTGAAGTGCTTGTATTTTACCTTTTTTTTTTCATTTAGCACTTGCTGTCTTCAAATTGAACATTTGAAATTATCTAATATTGCGGCATTGGTAGTGTAAACCCTGGCAATTCAGATCCGAGTGACGGTAGTGAAGTGAGGACGGACGGAGCTGGAGGTGATGGTGATTGATAAAAAAATGCAGATAACAAATGGTGCGGAGTTTTATTTATTTGACGCTGATATGATTGTTCGTAGTCTTTCTGTCGCTGCGTCCTTCGAATGTATTGTGAGAATGGGATTGATTTAAAATTGTGAGCTCGATTCGATTCGTTGATTCTTCGAAATTGACATATGCCTGCCTGCACATCAATATCTCAGGTGAACATTCAAATTCTTTATTTTTTTATTCTTCAGTCTTCTTTTTCTTAATTTCTCTATCATTTTCTTTCTTTCTTTCATTCATTCATTCGTTCGTGTTGTTGTTATTATTGTACAAAACTTTGTTTTTCACGTTTCGGTTTTTGCGGAATGACTTTGGAATTTGTTGAAAATGACTTTACAGTCTTTATATTAACAGCATGTAACTTAATTCCTTTTTTGTAGCACTTCAGAAAATTTTAAACTTTTTAATAATAATTAAATAGTAATTAATACTTCTTCGAAAGCTGTGGCATGCTTTTTTTTATCAGCTTTCATCTTCAGGCTCGTTTAAACTAAACATTCAGGGAAAATTTATCAAATTCAAGTTTGTTCGAAGTAATTATTTTCTGTCTTTAAATATTTTTCTCATTTTAACTTCAGACCGATTAAATTTGAAAAATCTTATATAATTGCTAAATGTACTATTGAGTTATTAAAGTAACGAATGAACTTACCGCCTATGTAATCATTTACTGGAACAAAATGCTCCGATGAATGTAAATATTCTTATCATATGGATTTGAAGCATGATCTATCTAGTGACCAACGGAGATGTTAATTATAAAGTTAGGAGGTTCAACGTAACGAATGTTTTTGTTTGTTTGTTTGTTTGTTTGTTTTATTGATTGTTTTTGAACTTTAGCTTTCTTCTTTTCAACCAGTCTGTCCTGTCTATTAAGATTTAGAGATGAAATGTGAATGTAGATGTGGATGATGATTCCCACAAGCATACAAGTATAGTAAGGTCATGGCATGGCTGGACTTATATTATTGTGTGCATTGTATGCTGCTGCGGTCACATCACATTTAACAATATTAATTTACCTACGATGTATGTATAATTTTCATGTATCTGACAATATTATCTGTTAACGTTGTTCATAGCTTATTTGTTGAATTACAGTTTTACATATTTTCATTTTATCCGCACTTCGTGGAGGTATATTTTTGAATAAAATTTTCATCAACACTTTCTCTTCATTAACATTTTACTAATTATCATCATCATCTTATTTTCATTCTTCGTCCACTGTGAGATGGAATGAAACATTTATTCTCAGGTCAAAGATTTATTTATTTAATTGATTAATTAATTAATTGTTTATTTATTTGTTTATTATATATTAGATATAGATTAAAATGTTAACGAACCGGTTCTATCATAATTTTTATTCCAACTAAAAACTGCGAATGTTTCGTAGTCAGTTGATTGCTAAGAATATATGACGATATATATCATTATCATTATTATTAGATGAAATTTTTTTTTAGTTACTCCTGATGAATTTTTTTTCCAATCTTTCAAAAGCTAAAATTGAACGTGCATTAATGAATAATTTTTCACGCGTGTGTACAGTGTATGACGGACGAAGAACGTTGTTAACGCTTTGGTGATGATTCATTGCTCTTTATTATTACTTTTATTATTATTTTGATTATTATTTCATTGTTACTATCATCGTAATTAACTACGCATCTTTGTAATGTAGATGTTTCGTTTCTTCATTTTTACGATTTGTACCGCAATGGGATTTTTACATTTGACCATGTGTGTGAGGTGCAACTTTTATTTTAATGACGTCATCATTTATTCATACATTAATTCATTCATACATTCATTTCGTGAACACTACGCGATATGAATAATGTACATTAAATGTGTATTACATATTTTTTTATTTATCTTTTTTTTTCAAGAACATAATTAAATCTTGTTTCGTGAACTTCTATAATAATGTTTTGTTTTATAAATTTGTTTCCTGATTTGGATTAGGATGTTCAAATAGGTGTGTTTGGGATCGAATTAATGTATGCGTCTATATGCATGTATGATTGATTGATTGATTTAAAGAGATGTAAAAAATCCTTTCAGAGCTTTCTTTATTCAAGTTGGCATTATTTATACAAAACTTTGTTGTAAAAAAATAATGTTGAAAGTTATTACATTTTACTTTATTAAAAACAGAACAGAATAGTCAATAAATTGATATCTAAGACGACGACTACGATATTTGAAACGACGAGGTTGGTGATGAGGATGACGATTGCTTGGCGGGCAAACACCAATGCTGACAAAATAATCACGAACGATACTAAAAAATAGTCCAAATATTTTGAATTCTGCCATCGGGCCAAGTCGTTTTCTTCATTTTGAAACTGATCAGAATGCGATTTGAAATCTCGCTCAAACGGGTTAAATGGGTGAATACCGTGCAAACTTTTGCAGCCCTGTCTCTATTGTATGAAGCTATTTAAATAAATCCCTCCTTGTTCGGGGAAATAATTTGTGCTGAAAACATTTTTTTTATATATTCAAGTATTTTCCACATGAGTTGATGAGCAACAGGTCTTGTTAATAACTTCTTGTAGTGATATAACTTAATGAACGCTGGCGTCCAAGTGACATGGTTTGCTGAGCAAACTGAACGAAATGTCTATCATGCTTGAGTTGGCGAGGTGGTGGATTTTTAGAGAAATTTTATTCCATCTTTGTATGCACTTCAACGTTTCATCGTTATAAAGTGTTATCGCTAGTTTTCAATTTTAAATTTCCTATCTCTGGGTGGATGAACACCGGTTCAGAACTTGAGTGTCGTCGATTTGAGTTTAAGCATCGACATTCGTTGGAGGTCATGTCGTGAGTGCTACTGTGATGAGGAGGAGGATGACGATGTCGTTGGCGATGAAAACAACAAAATGGAACGTTGAAACTAACGCCGTGATTGCTGGCATCAAACTGAATGTCATTATCTTCATCGGTCATTTCTTGAACGTTATCTACGAAGTAACATTTTCCTTGGTTCTTTTTCTGCATCTTTATTCTTTTTCGACTGAAACATAAATGCTGGCTGATCGAACTGCGCCATGCATTACAGGCACTAAATCGAGAATTATTCGCCGATTTAGAAGTGAAAAAATCCGCCGTGCTTACGTCGTTGGCGATAGATGTTGTAAAAGGTAGTTGATCGGCCGAAGCGGATCTGCATCGCAACAAACGTCTGAACGCTTCTCGAAAGTCCCTGTTGAAAAATGCATATATCAGGGGATTCAGTGCTGAATTGACGTAACCAATCCAGAACAGAAGGGATATGACCTCTTTTGGGGTGTCACATTTCACTCCGCAAAGGGTTGTCGATAGGTACCATATGAAAAATGGAAGCCAACAGAACAAAAATGCTCCCATTATTATTCCTGTAAAAAATATTTAACTTTTAAAATAATTTTTCTAATTTTAAATACAAACATTCAATTGTAATTACCTATAAATTACCTATAAAAACAATTCTAGTTTCTTAAGTGAAGAACAATGAATTTTGAGTTTACGCGTTGGCTTTAGCTGTCAACATTTCCATTATTGCTAATTAGCTTATTTAAATCAGCACATTTCCAAGGAAAGTTCTTAGAGACGATGAATCCTTTTTTCCGGCTTTAAAACGTACATTAGCCAGCGGCGTAGGAACCATAGGTTCAGCAGGTTCGTTGAACCTGGGCCCCCGGGACTCAAGGAGCCCCCGAAGAATGAAAAAAATGTAGTAAATTTCTGTATAAAATTAATTCTTCATTTGATATTTTTAATTAACTTAATATCTCTGGTAAAACATTACTATAATCTTTTTTTGTTATATGTAAAACATTTCTAAATTATGTTCAATTTGTGGTTCATAATTTTATAGCTTTATCGTTTTATTCATTATTCATCTACACTACATTTCATTATTGTCGTTGTCAAGTAATTTTTTTCCATTTAGCAATAGTTTTGCTACAAAAGTTGGTAAATTATTTTAACAAATTCAATTGTTTTTTTAATAGAATTTCAGATCTTATTTTGCATTAATAATGATTAAAGTATTGTTTGAGAAGTGTTATAACAATTTTTAAGACATAAGATCTCGGACAAAAATGAAATGAAATATCGAATGATTTTTGTCTGGAAAGACCTTATGATACATTTAAAGTAAATTTTCATCTTCCAGTTGTTCACACATGTTTAAAACAACTAAAAACTCGAATCCCTTCCCGCAATTTGTCGATTTATTTTCATTTTTGTTTCCACTTAGACTTTTTAGACGTTTAGACTTATTAGAAGCAGATGCGGATCGTCAGGTCATGAAATTTACAACGGTGTACAAGACTGATGTAACATCCGATCTTCTAAGACAGGTTCTTGCCTTCAAATCATGTGCAAAAGCATTCATCCGAGAAGCAAAGAATCCGGAAGATGTCTTAAACTGAACTAAAATTAGAACTAAATCCTGCTTTCCTGATTTGGTCATCTCCTATTGTTTTTTTGTTTTCAACAGTGACCACTGCCAGTAATTAATGACAATGATTGATTGCTTGGTTTAACTTAACAAAAAATAAAAAAACTATTTTATTATACAGTTGCAATTTTGTTTATAAATTAAATGTTTCAGACCGAAAATTTCATTTTTATTATCATATGTATAACCGCCGCTTACTTCTTTTCCAATATGTACATCAAGGGCCCACTCTAATTATTTGAACCTGGGTCCTTCACAGTTTAGCTACGCCACTGACATTAGCTATCTGAGATATTTAACAGCTTAACTTGTTCTCCAGCATAATTGCCAGTACTCGAACACAGATGTGCACGCCACGATGTATTTGCTATTTTATCTAATTAATCATGCGTGCCTTTTAATTTAACTTATATTATTTTTTTCAACATGTGCTACAATATGTTATTTATTTATTTAATTAATTAATTAGTTAAGTATTAATATTATTACTACTAATCTATTAGTGATAAAAATGATAATACTAAATTAGAAGCAGATGAATAATTTGATTTTTATCATGTTAACAGTTTATAACCGAGACCAAAATTGCGTTGTTTGTTAATTACGGTCTGTTGGACGCCAAGTTAATTATATAAGTAGAACAGAAAGTGAAAGAAGCAAGATGAGAGTATCTTGACGAGGGCCTCGTCAACATAGATATGATACCACTTGAAACTTTCTCAAATTTAAATATGCTGAACATTTGTCGAAATAACTTATGATAGAAAACGGAACTCAAAACCAATACTTGTAAATTTCATTATTTTGTTTTTTTTAAAACAAACAACTTCTATAACATAACAACATAATAGACTTATAGAGCATGCAGACAATCAGACTTTCATTTCATTTCATGCTCAAATCACCTAATGTTTTGGCAGCTTTGTTCTCTCGATGAATCTGTTTACGTTGTTGTGTCAATCTTTGGCTGGAACTCGAGAGGCTGAGTTGCAGTCGACTGCTGCTGGTGCTGAGGTTGTTTCTGTTTTTTACGTTGTTGCCTGTGGAACTACTGTTGTGTATTTTGAGGTAGTTGTTGTCGCTTGTGTTGATTTCAACGTCGTTGTTTGAACTGCCTATGTTCTCGACATCCACGATGCTAATTGCTTTTATGCCAATTGCTCTGTTGTTTATTGCAGTGTTGCTAATTACGATATCGTCTCCTTTGCTGTTGGTGGTGGTGGCTGTGGAAAAAGTAATAACATTGCTCTTTGATGGATTGCCTCTAACGTTCCTGAAAATCAAATGAAGGTGAGTGGTTTATGTGCTGAACATTAGGCGCTCATTAAACAAATGAAGACATCATCAAATTAACCACCTACAAACAATCGGAATGAAAGTATTTTGCTAAATGTGAGAGTCAACGTCCGCAAAAATAATGTTAACATTACCTATTCTAATGAACGTATGAATATTAATTTTAATTATGTGTAGGGATGTGGGGAAAATTTTCAATGATAATACCACCAACACAACGTGTTGGTGGTATTAATTAAAAAGTTTCTATAACAAAATTTGCATATTGTGTTTGAAGGTTTATGAATGGTCGTAAATAATTACACAGTCGTAAGTTCACACATTCACAGTTCATAAATAACTTGCGCCATTATCCGGGCAATTAATGCGGTTTCAACACGATCGTATTTCATTGAAATTATCATACACACACACACACAAACACACATTAATATATATATATATATATATACATACATACATATGTTTGCAGGCTAATTTTACTTATATTTTATACGGTAAGTATAAGAATTATTTTTTTAGCATCACAGCCTATAACATTGTATCATTGTAAAATTGAGGTTATTTCAAAAATTTTTGTGATCATTTGATGTAGTAGGTAACCTTTCGTAGCATAATTACGTAATTACTCCATATGTATGCGTTACAGAAAACACTTCAAATAACGTAACTCTAAGTTTGTGCGTTATTGTGCAATGCTCATTGTTTATGGTTGGATTGATGATAATGTTTCTTGACTGCCTTCCAAAAATAAAAATTTCTTGGTTTTAAATTTGTATAATTAATACCAGTGAAAAAAAAGTTTGGCACCAGCTTCTGTAATCATAAAGTTACATTTACAGTGGGATCGTCAATTTGAAAATGTTTGCGATTGTCATTCACCGACCCACAAATTTGTTAATAACTCATCCAGTGCGCAAATAATGTACGTGTCACTTTAAATAAAAAAAAATGATAGCTCTACTAGGAAGGTTTATGAACATAAACATCTTTTCTCAAAAAAAACTGGCCTTGAACTTGAACTGCCAACCTCTAAAATCATTTTTCGAACTAATGCTACTTGCTAGTTTGAATGCTTTAATTTTAACATGGCATTTTAAGATGTATGATAGGCAAACATTAAGCTCAGTCAAACCCACTTTCAAAGATGGGTACGCGAATTGTATTTTGAGATGGCTGCACGATGATGTTAGAATTGCACATCGATTGAATGGTTGAAAATAAATTCAATTTGTAGTCGTTACGATTTATTCTAATCTACGTGGCATATCACTTTAAAAATAATGAATAAACAATGAACAGGTAACAATTTCGGGGAATAAAATGTAATTGACTGTGGAAGTAATGTTAGAGTGAGAAGCGCTGAAATGACCAGAAATCAATGGAGCATCGAAACAATTAAGGACATGGTACATCACAAGAGGCTTGCCTCACAAGCGATTGCTTCATCATAACACATTCCTCCATGCAACTGCTTGTTCGTTTTGATATGTAGGGTTTTGTTACTGCGATTTAAATTTGGAAGAAAATTTTAAAATAATTCTTTCTGAAATTTTAATTTGAAAACGTCAAAAAATTTTGTATAATTTTATAATTGGTTAAAAATTTTCGCATAGATTTCAAGTGTAAATCACAAAATCTTTCATTGATTTGTTTTTGAAAACCTAATTAATTCACTTAAGTTTATTTTATCTAATTTTTGAATTAAGTTCAAATTAAAATTAAGTTCTTCAGTAAGAATATTTGATTTATTTATTAAATGAACTATCAAATATGAAGTAAAATCTTTCAAAAACCGCTAAAATGTTTTGAAAACTGCAAATGGATTTTCGTAAATTTTTAATTTCGAAACTTTTTTTATTACAGAAGTCTGGTCTAAGATAGAGATTATTGTGATAAACATTTTCATATCAGAAAAACCACTTCCTACGAAGTTTATAATAACGACGCACATAATGGATTAACAACTGCAGAAATTATTATAAAAAAATGTTGGACGATGGATTCAATTATAGCAGCAGCAGCAGCAGCAGCAGCAGTAGTAGTAGTAGTAGTAGTAGTAGTAGTAGTAGCAGTAGCAGCAACAGAGACAACGACATGTAGTAACGAAGTTTGCAATGAAAAACGCAATAATGAATTTTGGCAATATCTCGTGTTTGGTTCTCTTTTGGTAGATTTTGGTTCGTCGGAAAAATAATGAGATGCAATGAAACAAAAGGAAAACAATAACGCATTTATTAAATACGGCAACCATAAAAACAAAACAAAGAGAAGAAAAGACATTCTATTGCAAAAAAATTCTATTACAAAAAATATTAATAATATGAATTCTTCGAATGCAACAAGATGAAGACAGTGACGATGATCGTGATGACTATGGTGCTGATAATATTAATAATGATGATGTATTGATAATGATGATGATTGATAATGATGATGTTGATGATGATAGCGATGATGTTTATAAACCATGGTGGTAAAAAAAATTACCAAGACAATCATGCCGATGATGATGTTTATATGAACAACAACAACAACAACAACAACAACGACAACAACAACAATAATAATAACAATAATAATAATAACAACAATAATAATAATAATAAATAATGACAACAACAATAATAATAATGATAAACATGACATGATGATGACAATAATGATGATGATAAGGAAAAGGATGACAATGATAAATATTATTATTATTATTATTATTATTATTATTTTTGTTGTTGTTGTTGTTGTTGTTGTTATTATTATTATAAAATAATGATGGTGATATTATTTGAAAAAATAGACAACATAAACCTTGAAGTTGTTATGGACAGGCAGTCATTTTTGCCATCAGCATCTGCACAACCAATCCTCTCAACATTGCAACCACTATTGCTATTTATGTTGTTGTTATCGTTGTTATTATCGTTGTTGTTCTTGTTGTTGTTACAATTGTTGGGATTATTATTTGTGTGGTTGTCGTTATTGCTACTACTATTATCTGTCTTGTTGTTGTTGTTGCTGTTGTTATTGTTGTTATTGCGGTTGTGGCTGTTTTTAAAATTGTTATTATTATTATTAGTGTGGTTGTCGTTATCGGTGTTACTGGAATCTGTGTTGTTGCTGTTGTTGTTGCTATTATTATTATTATTATTATTATTATTATCATTATTATTATAGTTGTTTGAGTTATTGTCGTTAGAGCCAGTAACGTTATTGCCGTCAGTTTCATGGTCCCTAATCAACTTATTGAGAACATCAGAATTTGTAGGTCCTGTTGTGATGCTACGGTTAACTGTGTTGTTGTTGTTGTTGTTGCTGCTGCTGCTGTTGTTGTTGTTGTTATTATTAACGTTGCTGATGTTGCAGTTAGCGTTGCTGTTAACGTTATTCACGTTGCTGTTATAGTTGCTTGTTGATGTGTTGGATGCACTGACCACTAGCAATCTCATCTTTTTCTCTTGCTTGCGTGCTTCGATGAAGATTTTGACGTAAGTGAAAACCATGACGATGGCGGGGGTCCAGAAGGAAACCATGGAAGATATCAAGGCGTATGCCGGGTTTACCTGCGAATGAAATTTTATCTGGAGTTGTATTTGGAACTGTAGGTGATTATGTATGTGAAGCTTTATGTGATGTTGAATGTGGAATGCAATCGAAGTATTTATGAACAAAACAATTTTTATACTTACAAGTACCACAAGTATTTGAGAGATTTAATACAATTTTTAGTATATTACGTATGCATGTGTAATACAAATAATTAAAAGTTTTAATGTAAATTAGCTATTGTCAATGAATAAAGGTCAGTTCATTGAGATCTCATCCACCCAGCCATCTTCCTGGTCAGCAGCAGCAGCAGCAACATGGAACAACCAGAGAGTTGGTTGAATAGATGAAGCGTGACGTCAGGTGGCATCCAGGCCATCATCCATCTTCATTATTGAAATGACATGAACATATATATATATATATACAAATATATATATATATATATATATATAATTTGTTATATTCCATATATATATATATATATATATATACAAATATATATATATATATATATATAATTTGTTATATTCCATATATATATATATAAATATATATATATATATATATATATATATATATATGTATAGGCATAAGTGATAAACATAGCGATAGTTGCCAGAGTTTTAATATCACATATTGTATATTTTATGTAAACATTTTCTCCATAATATTATTATAAATGCTGCTTCTTGTTGATTTTTGTTTAATTTCTTGTAGAACGAAAACGAAACGGAGGGATGCATTTTTACGCAATAAACGATTTTATTGCGGCCAATATTGAGGAGTTGGCAGGCGCTGAGTTCCATGCCAAACTACTTCAGTGACGTTCAGGTGCACCTCATCAAATTTCACGCACTTTCGGCCGCGCAGACATGTAAGAATGCTAAAGTTTTGGTGGTGAGCACAACTTCCAACATGTAAAAATACTGAAGTCTTCCAACAGTTGCATGGAAGCTGTTCAGATGACAAGTTCCAGCAAAAATAACAACAACAATAACTCATCGCAAACAAAAAAAAACAACTTGCGTTGGCAGTTTGGGATACGTTATTTTTTCATTCCCCTGAAAATTGTCATTA